TACTATTACCTGTTGAGGCTGCCTGACTTATTAATGGCACATTAATGAAACTTTGAAAATGGAAAGGGATAGGGACAAGCTTCTGGCCACGTGGTCTGAGCTTCTCTTTCCTGGAGGTGTTCATGCTGACCCTGCTGGATTAGGTTAGCATGTAAAACTTGCTTTTATAGATGGGTGTTGCTGAATGCTGCCCTTCACATTTCATTGCACAGCTGCTCAAACATGCTCTCAGGTATAAAATGCTGCACAACGATGCCTTTTGCATGCCAAACCATCTCAATGGATTTGCCTCATTCACAGAAATTCAGTACAAAGCAGGCCAAAGAACTGTTATCCATATCTGTCCGTCTTGAAGTGCATGTATGAACCTAAAATGTATTCCTCTATAAGTATAGCTTGTGGAAGAATAGTGAAAGTATTCTCTCTTGTTGTTTTTACTAGCGAGAATTGTCATTAGAAATGTGATAGGAGATGATTACATGTAAAATAATGCCATCCGCAGGTACAGCTTTGTTAAACAGAGTTTTTTAGAGCATCCTTTTTTGCAAAAAAAAAAGCATTGTATTGCTCTTTCATTGATGGAGAATAAGCAGAGGATATATTACAGTTACCACAGCAGTGAGCGGTATTATATTGCACAAGCTTGTACAGATGCATGTAGTAGAATGTGTTGGGCACTTCTAATAGTACAGTATTTGTGGCTGTTCTTTAGTGGTGTATTTTAGGTTGGGTTAATGCTCCATGCATTAAATGGTATTTTACGTATTTAGAGAAATGAGAATTGCATTGCCTTGGACACGTGGAAATTTGGCTTTTGCATTTACACCTTGTTCTGAGCATTCCATAGTAAATGGTGTCTTTTTTCTTTTTTTCAGAGCTGATGTCATGTGAGCATCTGCATTCAATTTTGTACTTGGTGCTGCAGGCTGGGAACATTATGAATGCGGTAAGGGTGAAGTCTCCTGCTGCACCTCCCTACATCTCTTCTGTTTTAATGTATTTTACTGACTTTTTACATTTTTCTTTGTTCTGCAGGGGGGTTATGCTGGAAATGCTGTTGGCTTTAAGTTGTCGTCATTGCTCAGGCTTGCAGACACAAAGGCAAATAAACCTGGAATGAATCTGTTACATTTTGTGGCTTTGGTATGTATACCCCATCCTCACATTTCTCTTGTATATGGTTTGCTAGGAGGCTGCTGCCCAAGGTTGCCTCTACTGACATGCCTTGTGCGTCTATACTGATGTGCACAATATTGAACAGATACCACAAGTGCTGTTAGGCCAAAGGCAAGGGGGCAGCTAGAGCAGGTTTAGTTAGCAGACAGGGAAAAGAGCAAAGTGTGAAATCCAGCAGCCCCCAGAAATCAATTTTTTACAATAGTTAAAGTTCTCGGCTGGAAATAAACTTTGAAATGGTTTCTGATTAGGTTGCTAATGCAAACTGCACCTAATGCTTTGCTTACATGCACCATGTCCACAATCACACCCAGAACCCCAGTGCTGCAAGGCAGCCACTGTTACCACTGAGTCACCTGTGAGCATTCATAGGATATTGTTGTACAGTATTTAATGTCTTTGGTAATTCTAATTTAATGCTATATCTGTTTATGTGACTGTAAATCATTCAGCATTGCCCTTTAATATGTTTTCTATGTATTGCAGGAAGCCCAGAAAAAGGATGCTGCTCTGTTGACTTTCTCAGAGAAGCTGCAGCATGTTAATGGAGCAGCCAGGTAATAGGAGCACACTGACATTACATTGATAAATTGTTATCCTTAGGTTAGAAAGTGCTTGCAGGGCCCTTCGTGGGAACCTGTATTGGTGTATAGAACCTTGTTAACCCACATTGGGATATCTGAGGTGTGTCTACTTCTTCGAGGACAAGTCAAATGTCAGTCCCAGGGAAATTCTGTGCGTGGTAGTTAATTTTATGCATTGAATACATCCTATGAGATATTCTCCAATACTGTGTACATGGCAGTATAGCCCTGGAGGAAATTAGATTTCTGTTTGCACATACAGCAGAGTAAAATACTAGTCTCCTGTTTACCATGTGTGGTGACAGGCGTCAGCTGGATTAAAATCATTATGTAATCCTTGTGTGCTAAAACGTGTACAAGAAAAAGTTCTTTCCAGGCACACGAGGACAGGCTGACTGTGCCCGTGACTTTGACACCTAAGACCTAGGTTTGTATCACAGAAATGTCTTGTTTATAGTGTACACATGACATTGCCTAAGACTAAAATCTGAGCTGTCCTAGCTTTCTTAATGAGGTCTTACATTCATTTGATGGTAGCTGGTGAGAGCAGATGTGTATAATTACATCAAATCCCAACACAAGATCCCATTGAGGAGTTCTGCATGTAACCTAGAGAAAACTAAGCACCATTTTTGCTTTATATATCATTCTATTAGGTTACTATATACTATTCAGCCAACAATGGTTGTTCATGTGGTTCAATATTTTATTCCCTTCTCTAAATGCAAAGTGACTTATAAGCCTAGAAATGACCAATCATATTTTTCATCACAAGAACATTTGTTACCACTTTTAGGGAACAAAGTTTTCAATTTTTGTTATATTGGGTCTTTATATGACATTGAGCTATCTATGGTTAACAAATTTGGAAGCAAAATTTAAAGAACTTTTAGGCATCAAATGGGTCTGAGGTAGAATGTGTGTGGAATATTATATTTTACTTAGAGGGAGATTTACAAAAACTAGTGCACTCAGAATTTGGTGCAGCTCTGCTTAATAACCAATCGGCTTCTAACTTCAGCTTGTTCAATTAAGCTTTTTTTAAAGCTGATTGGTTTCTATGCAGAGCTGCACCAGGTTCTGTGTACACCAGTTTTAATAAATCTCCCCCTGAGCCTGGGTTCACACTGATGCGGTGCAGAATTTTTCACCGGTTTCTGTGCGAATTCTGCACAGCATCCAATCGCACCCCAGTCATGCAAACCGGCGGGTGCGTATGCTAAGTTAACAACACTCCAAAATCGGTGCGATGTGCATGTGAATACCCATGTAATCCGATTCTGGTACGGACCAAAAAAAGGGTCCAGCACCTTTTTGTTGCGGATGTGGTGCGATTTGAGCCATTCAAAATGTATGGCTCAAATCGCACCGCACAGAATTCACATGTGATTTGCACAGAAATGCAGTGAGGTTCCTGTGCGAATGCTGCACTGCCTAAATCTGAACCCAGGCTCAGTGTCCGTGTGCTAGGCAGGTACTTTATTGCATGTTGTGAACACGGATGTAGAAAATATGTCTGTAGTTTTGTGCTTAGGAATAACTACATTTTTTAAGATTTTGCTATCATTGTTTCGTTCCAGCTGGTGAGGAGGTGAATGGTCTAGCACCATTCATATCCCTGCAGCAGCCCCAGCCTAAAGTGAAATGTTGCACATGTGTCTGGTTCAATCTATAGAGAATAATGGTCTTTTTTGTGTGCATATGCTGAGCTAGACATGAATACTGCCATTGTTCTGTGTTCATCCCTACCTGGGTGCATGCATCAGAAAGGAATACTTGCCTGACTGTATCCTGTGCATTGCCCTATGCTGCACTGGCCCAGAGCAGGCTGGGATCATGGAAAAATTCAGTTGTATGCAATTTTAGTAGTGCTTAAATCAAAGATAGCACTGATTACTGGGGGGTATGGGTTATGTTACAATTTTCCTTGAAGTTGGGTTATCTTTATTTAATGCAAAGGGTTTTTTTTGTTTTTTGTTTTACAAACTTCTATGAATTCACTAGCCTCATAATCAAATTGTGTTTTATTGAAAAAAAGTTATCCGTATTGCAATGAAGGGGAGAGCCATTGTCTAGTTTTGATTTCTCGGCGTAGTTTTTTTTTTCGTGTAGAGTAAAGAGCAGAATTTAACCTTCTGGTGTCAGGCACTTGGCTTTCCCACATTGCTTGCTGGGGGCTGCTTTTACTTGTTACTATGACAGAGAAAGCAGGGTCAAAAGGCTGATTCAAGCACAAAAGCCCAGCTTGTACATTGGCAGTGAGCAAACCAGATTTCTTAGAATAGTGAAGGAGTGTACGATGGCATGGTGAGAAGCATCAATCCCATTTCTCCCACACATCTGTTCTGTATGTATACAAGCATCTACATTGTCTCTGGCCTTGGCCATTGGGACTTTTTTCCCTCTCCTCTTTCATCATGGCCATTGGGACTTTATTCCCTATACTCCTTTATCATGGCCATTGGGACTTTTTTTCCTCTCCTCCTTTTATCATGGCCATTGGGACTTTTTTTCCTCTCCTCCTTTATCGTGGTTAGATATTCAGACTATACTGAATACTGTAACTATTTTCGTCTATTAATATTTGCTAGAGCCAGATGTGCCAAGTGGAGTCTGTGTTCTGTTAACTGAAATAACAGAGCATGGTTAGAACAGGAAGCAGACCTGTTCCATTATTTCACTAGTTATTGGTAATGGAAATATGTAAAGCAATTAGTGTCCTTTCTACATTGGCCCATAACGTTTGACTCCAGAAACAGGTGATGGGACAGGAGGGTGATAAATGGGTTGGAAAGTTTGACTCCAGAAACAGGTGATGGGACAGGAGGGTGATAAATGGGTTGGAAAGTTTTTGTTAAAAAACAGAAAACATCAGTGCTCTTCAAATTGTACAAACACAGAAGTTATTGGGTATCTGATGACGTTAGGCTTTTGTGCCAGTTAACCTTTGCTGTCAGTAATGTTTGTCATGTGCATGGTTTGCATTGTTAAGGAAGGGCTACTCTATGAGGTTGCTTGCTTCCACCCAACTTATCTTACCTTTGCTTTGACAAGAAGGTAAGGCTGTGTTTGAGATTCAGGTGTTTGGTGACGTTATCAAATATTACAGATTTAGTTTCAGGTACTGTACTTTAAATTGTTATATCATTTTTGTATATATAATTCAAATTTTATATAAATATGTAATTTTTTTAAGGTTATCTTCAGAAAATCTAGAAACGGAATTTCATTCACTCTCTACAAAAACAAAAACCATTAAAGACCAAATCAAAAAGGACCCTGAACTGGTGCAACAAATGGAAGAATTTCTGCAGGTAATCCGTCACGTACACTTTTATAGCTGGTAGCAGTTCCATTCAGTTGGACTTGAAACTGTAATGTTTAAAGCAGTATTAAACCCAAAAGGGTACTACAGTTCCCTCTGACACTCCCAAAGATATGCTGGTAGGTTAATTGGCTCCTATCTAAATTGGCCCTAGTATGTGTATGTATGAATGTGAGTTAGGGACCTTAGATTGTACACTCCTTGAGGGTTAGGGACTGATGTGAATGTACATGTACAAAAGTGCTGTGTAAATTGACAGCAGTATGTGTAAATACCTATAATAAATTAATAAAGCAAACCATTATAATATTGCAGTGTACCAATTCTTAGATGTGATTTCTGCAAGAATTTTTTTTATTTGGTTTTCTTTCTTTTATTTTAGTCTGTTTTTCAAAAAAACAAACTCTCTTGCAGTTACGGGGATGAGATAAACCATTTAACACTGGCCAGGATGTTTACAATGATCATCTTTTATTTTTTAATGTAAACCTTTATCTAAAAAAAAACCCCAAAAACGTTATTATTCAACTGCTTATAAAGTATTAGCTGGAGTTTGACACCTTCCCCTCCCCCCCTCTCCCAACTGACAATGCTGCCATCCAAAGGTGTCTCTGCAGCTCCTTTATCCAGAGTGGGAGCACTGTGATACAGGAGGTGTGTTTACTACCCAGATCACCTGGTGAAAACGGGGAAAAAAGATTAAAAAAAGGAAACTAATGCACCCACCACATCTAGTGACTGGTGAGCTGCAGCGTATTCCATTTTTGTCTTTGGGTTCAAGAAGTTTATTAACTCCAAATCCAAATGACTTGCTTCCATTTAATTGAGTGTCAGAAACATGCCTCAGCATTTAAAGCTACGATAACTACCTAAACACCTTGTGTTATGTATATTCACAACTTTTTTTCTTTTACATTTTGAATAGAGAAGAGAATGGTTAAAACTCCTATAAATTCATACTTTGCTATATTTGTTCTGCAGGAGAGATTTTTTTCGTTCACTTCCAGTCTTGGAGATGCAACAGGAAGTGAGAGGTAATTTCCCCAAAGTGAGGGGAGTTGCCCATCCACAGTTGTCACCAGAACCTTTTTCCCAAATGGAAGATTTCCCATCTCTACCTTTCATGACAGCACTAAATGTTATCATTTCAACTGCAACCAAACTCATACAGGCTATTCAGAATGCATTTTTTACAATTGAGTATCACTTGCAGTGGTTGGATTGTATAAATAGAACAAGCTATTTAAAGCAGCAACATTAGTAGTGTCATTAAAAGTAGGCTTTTATACATCACCAGTAGTGTGCTTGGGTGGTATTAATATTTCATTATATTGCAGGTTGCGGTGAAGGAGCTGAAAGAACTGGACACACAGAGAGTGGAGTTACAGAAAGAAGTTCACACCCTTATTGATTTCTTCTGTGAAGACAAAGAAACCATGAAACTTGATGAATGTTTCCAGATATTCCGGGATTTCTGTGACAAGTTCAACAAAGCAGTGAAGGTAAGACAACTATCTTATCGAAATTTAAAATTATAGAGGGTACCATCTTTTGTAGTTCACAAAGTGGAGCTTAAGTAGGGTGAAAGTTGACACTTTCTTCGGCAAGGACATAACATTAATAACATTTTCACCGGCTACTTTATAAGGTACACCTTGCTAGTGCGAAGAAAATATGCCTACATCATTACACCACCACCAGCAGCCTGAACCGTTGATACAAAGCAGGTTGGATCCATGCTGTCATGTGGTTTATGCCAAATTCTGACCCTACCATCTGAATTTCACAACAACCAGTCTGCCCATTCTTCTCTGACATCAACAAGGCATTTTCGTCCACACAACTGCCGCTCATTGGATATTGTCTCTTTTTCGGACCATTCTCTGTAAACCCTAGAGATGCTTGTACATGAAAATCCCAGTAGATCAGCAGTTCTTGAAATACTCAGACTAGCTCGTCTGGCACCAACAACAATGCCACATTCAAAGTAACTTAAATCCCCTTTCTTACCCATTCTGATGCTCAGTTTTAACTTCAGCAAGTCTTCACCACATCTAGATGTCTAAATGCATGGAGTTGCTGCCATGTGATTGGCTGATAAGCTATTCATGTTACCAAGCATATATGTGTATACATACATACCTTATTCATAGGTTCAGCTGTGGAATTATGTACATGTTGTTGAATTGTGTACATTTATTCTTCTGTGTCCCTTGTGGCAGGATTTGGTTACCCAAGTCCTTATATGTATATTAGCTGGAGATTCTATTGGCATCCATCAGTTGTGGCTTTTAATATATTTGCCAACAATAAGTGGCTGCTGAATGTTGTGGTGAAGGTCTCAGGGCTTCAGTATTCTTGAATGGAGAGCAGACAGGTCTCAGAGTTTTGGTGCTAGTTGCTTCAGCTGCTATGGCCATTATACAGAGGGTAAAATAAGTATTAAACACGTCACCATTTTTCTTGGTAAATATATTTCTAAAGGTGCTATTGACTTTTTACATTTTCACCACATGTCAGTAACAACCAGTGCAATCCATACATGCAAAAAAAACCAAAACAAATAAGGTCAGAAATTAAGTTTTGTGTAATAAAATGGAATGACCGGGAAAAAGTATTAAACACATGAAGAAAGGAAGGTGTAAAAAGGCATTGCAAGCCAAGACACCAGCTGAAATCTATCAGTAATTAGAAAGCAATCCTGCCCCTTGTCAGTGCAAATTAATATAAGCTGGTTCAGTCGCAACTGATGGCCTTTAAAAAGGTGTCTCATTACCAAAGTGTCACACAAGAAACATCTCATGATGACTATAAGCAAAGAGTTCTCTCAAGATCTTCACAACCTTATTGTTGAATAACATAATGATGGCATTGGTTACAGAAGGATTTCTAAACTTCTGAATGTTTCAGTGAGCACTGCTGGGGCCATAATCCGGAAGTGGAAAGAACCTTGCAAGGTTTCTGAAAGAAGAGTGAAAAGAATTATCAGAACAGTTGTCCAAGAGTCGAGGACTGCTTGTGGAAAGCTTCAAAAAGACCTGGAATTACCTGGCAGATACAGTCGTTTCAAAGAAAACAATAAGCAATGCACTCAACCGCCATGGCCTATATGCACGCTCACCACGCAAGACTCTATTGAAGAAGAAGAAGCACCCTGAAGCTCGTTTAAAGTTTGCTGCACAACATTAAGATAAGCGTGTGAAATACTGGGACAATATAATCTGGCCAGATGAGACCTAAATTGAATTCTTTGGATGCCATAATACACACCATGTTTGGAGGTCAAATGGCACTGCACATCACCCCAAAAACACCATACCAACAGTGACATTTGGAGATGAGAGCATCATGGTGTGGGGCTGTTTTTCAGCATACAGTACTGGAAAACTTCATGTCATTGAAGAAAGGATGAATAGAAATATGTACCAAGACATTATTGATCAAAATCTGCTGCCATCTACCAGGATGATTAGAATGAAATGATGGTGGACATTTCAGCAAGTCAATGATCCCAAACACAAAGCCAAGGAAATGCTCAGTTGGTTTTCAATGAAAGCAGATAAAGTTGCTAGAATGGCCTAGCCAATCGCCTGACTTGAATCCAACAGAAAATCTATGGAAAGAACTCTGGGTCATAAAAGAGACCCATGGAACCTTCAAGATTTGAAGACTGTGTGGTAAAATAAGCCAAAATCACACCTGAGCAATACATGTGACTAGTTTCTCCATACAGGAGGCATCTTGAAACTGTCATTACGAACAAAGGATTTTGTACGAAGTATTAAATAAATTTCAGTTGGCGTGTTCAATACTTTTTCCCTGTGTCATTCCACTTCATTAGACATAACTTAATTTCAGAACTTATTTGTTTTAGGTTCTTGGTATGCATAGATTGTGCATGGGTTGTCACTGACGTGCTGAATATTTCATGTCAATAGCACCTTTAGAAATCTATTTACAGAGAAAAATTATGTGTTCAATACTTATTTTATATGCTTATGGTTTTTATTGTGTAGTGTATTGCCAGTGTTCCACTAAATATAATCTTTATAAATCTTGCAAAGTTTCATATGTATTCTAATATGTTTTGTGTGTTCTCTTTTTCACTGTAGGAGAATAAGGAGAGAGAATTACAAGACATTCGCCAGAAGCAGAGACTGAAGGAACAGGAGCTAAAACGTCAGTCCTGGGTCTGTGTAGAGGCTGGAGGTTTTGGAAGGAGTAGCAGTGAAAGTGATGTGGAGTTACTGACAAAGAAGGGACTGGAGGAGTTTTTACTTCAAAGGCCCCAAAGCCCACTGAGTAGGACCTCTAGCACTAGGCGTTCTCGACACTCATTAGGTGTTACAGCAGACAGAGAACTTCTAATGTACTTGGAAGCCCCTCAGGATGATCAGTTAAACAAATGTAATAGTCTTCCCAGAACTCACACTCGACAGTCAAGACCAACAATTGCATGGATGAATTCCAAAGACAAAAATGAAGAGGGCAATATGCACTTAAGTAAAAATGAAGCCATTCAAAGTTCCTCACCTTTGCCTACAGTTCATATTAGTAGTTTTGGAGATGACCACACTGCCGTAGTAAATAAACGAAATAATCAGACCAATATAGACCGCAACAACAACCAGCCACAAAACTGCCAAGAAAATGGAGACCGTTCAATTAAAAAGACCCCTTTAATCCCATTAGCAGTCACTATTCAGGAACGTGAACTGGTTAAAAAGTTACAAAAGTTTGATCTTCAAGGATCTGTGCATGAAAATACAGAAGATGTTTGTATTACGGATTTGGAGACATTTGAAGAATTTCATTCCCTTAGCCTTGCAGATGAACTTGGTCCATCTAAAAATACCAAAGACACACCCTCAAGTATATATGATGAGGACATTAGTATGACTGAAGGATATTCCAACATTGCAAGCACTCCTGTATCACAAAATACATGTACTTCTGAAAAGCGAGAACATGGACCAATTTTCTATGTTGAGGATACTACTGAAACATCTTTATCTGTGGATCATTCTGAAGCACAAAGTGTAAACTGTAATATGGGAGACACATCAGTTACAATGGAAAGTAAAAGTGAAATAGTGGACATATCTCCTGATGAGCACAAACATGCAGACTGTAACACTGGAGATGCTGGCAGTACTAAAGAAAATACATTAAAATGTAAAGATCACAAAAGACCTAACTCTGTGAAAGAAAGAACCTCAAGCTTCACAAAATCAAGTACACCTCGTTCAAATACTGCTACAACAAAACCTGTGTGCGCATGTTGAATGAGTCTGAGCATGAAACTATGCGAAAGGTTGTCCCCATTTCTAAGACGACAAAGTCGGGAACTATAAAACGTACAGAGATCAGAAGTTCATTGAGAGATGAAAGCAAATCTGATGACCTGAAGCAAACTTTTCGGCACTCCCTTAGAGCCAAAAATGATAATGTCCCAAGGACTTCCCCAATAACCAGTCCAACTGCTGAAGAACCTAAGTTACAAAGAGGTTCAAGTTTTATAGCAAACAGTTCACGTTTTCAAAGGGACCAAATCCAGCGCAAAAGTTCTGTCAGAAAACCAGCAGCAAAACCAGTTAGGAATATTGCTAAGCCAAAGCTTGATGAAACCAAGATATGCAAGACATCTCCAAAAGAATCTAATTCTGCTGAAACCAGCAAACTGCAACCAACGACGCCTATAACCAGCCCCAAAACCTTGCCCTCTACACCAAGTTTTGCTAGAAACACTGTTGCATCATCCTCAAGATGTGCAAACCAGAACAGTCATCTCCAATCCCAGGAAAGACATCAGCATTAATTAGATCATCATCAATACGCCAGTCTAAAGGAAAGTCTGAACCATTAACTAGGGATGTAAATCCAAGGGAAAATGGAAGAGTGAATACATTTAAAAGGACCAGTAGTTTGAGGACATCTGGGAAAGGGATTGATGCTGTTAGAAATGGCACACCTGAGATAATTCAGAAAGAGAAAGGCATTGTTGAAAAGTCCTCTGTGAAACTTAAAGATACAGGGAAAGCTACCCTTGGTAAAATACTTAAACCTTTACTAAAGTAGATGATTAATGTAAAGCTCCCATTACTAACATGACAACCCCACCTGGGCGAGTTGGTAAAGACATTTTTCATTTTCCCACTTTGACGAGCTGCGCACATTACAGTCGTAGCAATTTTTATATTAAGAAAGTGGTGAATGTTGGTATAGCCAGGTACTCTGTGCGGCAAACGGATTAGACAGCCTCATGAAGGATTTTTTTGCTGGACGTAATGTGATATTCGTGGAGCTCCGCTTGATGGATACTTTTTACAGATTGCAGTAATTGGAAAGCTCTACTTTCAAAGATGTTTGCTCGGCTGTAAAACAGAACTCTGGTTAGTGTTTGACCTCCAAAGGTACAAATTATTCACTGACTTTGTATGGTTGGCTGCTTACAGCTAATGGTATACTTGATCATACTGCCACTGGCATGGATATTCCAAAGACTCTGCTGGGTGGAGTCTTTTGCTTTACTGGATGATATAATGACTGGTGCAGGTGTGTTTCATAACCTCTTAAGGAAGCACACAAGAGGATGAATCATTGACGACAATGTTGCCTTCATATACTATGCTATCCAGTTTCAAGTGTACAAAAGTGCCATGTATTTATTTTGCATTTGAAAGGTGTTACTGTACTATATTTAAATGCTAAATCTTTTTTGAGAGCACTTCAACTATTCCATGTTTTCCATTGTCATTGTTCTTTGTTTTATTAACATGTGAATCCTGCTGCTAGGCTTCTGTCCTCTAAGCTTTGATGGGGGGGGGAGGAAAAAAAAAAAAAAAGAACTCTCTGTTCTTTGTATTCCTCTTACTGTTGGCCAAACAGTGGCGCTCACGTGTAATGAATAATAATTTTCTCCTAGAATTCTGCAACTGCACTCAATGTAAGCCAGCCCAGATATGTTTACACATACGTCATAACTCATCTTTTGTAGATGAAAGGTCTTTTTAGTAAGAGACACATTTACAGCTGTGCACAGTTTTTGTTTACCAAGAAAGAGAGTACATCTTAGTATAAAATTTTTTTACAAAGTTGGTAAAATGAATGGGAAAAGTACGACGACCCTCTGCAACCTGTCAGGTTTAAGCCCATCTCTAGACGGTATTTTTTTTCTATCACGTGCAAGGGTTAGAGAGTTGAATTTTTATTGCTTTGTTTTTGTACGTCTGCTGGGAAGATAATCAATTACTTCCTGTTCGAACGACACAGACTCAGAGGGACAGGAAGTAAAGGGAAATCTCTTCCGAAGGAAAAGGCACAAATCCATTTTATAGTAGTTGTGAAAGGACAGAACCTCTGTGAGGTTTAATTTATTGTCTGTGTCTGACCCCATGACCCCTTATTTGTTGTCCTGTTGTCACAGGAATATAAAGCCAAAGTAAATGTCTCCAGTGGTGTCAGACAGCAATACAAACCAGGTTCTAACCCTTAGTTACCCCATTCAAAACATTAAAAGAAATAAAACACAAAAGACCATTTTGGCTAGAGTTGTACTTTAATATCATGGAAGACACAACAGATGGCTCAGACTGTTCTAAATTGGTTGCAAAAGGTTACATGCGCTTTGCATATTGCTTTTTTTTTTAAACTTGTTCTTTGACATAGTAATTATGTAGCATAATGTGTGAACTGTCTAAAGGACCAAATCTTTACTTATGTTGGGATGTCTGAAGTTCTCTTTTGTACCTGAAATTGAATTTGGCCAGTTATAAAACCTGCTTCTTACAACCACTATAGGACACTAGGGCATTGATGGTACTTTTGTAAGGGTGCTGATCCAGACTTCTATATATGTTTTGCCTTACTTGACAAGGCCGCGTGGTACACTTAAACATTTGGAGTCTTCCTTGGATACTAGTAAACAGAACTGGCCAAGTAGAAAAAAATGCCATTATTATGGCTGTAAATCCTTATAGCATCTGCCTAAAACTAAACTGACTCCACTAGTTTGTAATAAGTGGCTCCATTAGGGTTGTAGATTTTTTCTTAGAAAATACAAATATTTAACACACTGCTTTATTTGAAGAAAAGGTTGCATGTCTAACCTATGGCAATTTACTCTTCAAACTCTTACTTGTTGCCTTATTATGTTTGCTGCTTCCTGAATATAGATATTGGTATTAAACCAGAACAGGTTAAAGAATGACTGGAAACCACAAACATTGGCTTGACATTGTGTAGAGATTATTAATGCAGTCTATCAGTGTCCAAAACAATCATGATTCAGGGGTCCAACTTCCTTAAAAAAAAATCATAGGTGAAATAAAGTTGTGTGCTTTTTCTTTTTAAATTGTCATGATTCATAGACTCATGGATCTACCTGGAACTCTGAAAATACGTAGTCATCCCTTAAACCCACAGACCAGCAGATCTATCATACAGCAAAGTGGGCTGAAAGAGATACCTGTGTCATTATCTCAACTGCAGGAACATTTGCCTATTAATTCATCATCTACGTCTTGCAGACATATGTGAATTCTCCTTTCTTTGGAGAAAAAAATATGATCCTTTATCTGTAATACAGAGTGTTAATGAGCACTTCCAGTGTTCACACACTGGGCAATTCACTCCCACACAGCCTGTTATAGTGCACAGAAAGATGGGTGTGAAGTGCTGGAAACAGATTTTTAACCTGTAACAAGAAATCATAAACAATGCCAAACAGCTTGAATTCAACAGCTCTCCATAAAGCTGGAGGTCCCCCGAAAAACTGTAGTGACTCCAATGAAGACCATCACATGAAAAAGAGTGCCAAATGAGTCCAAAATCCTTTGTTGTTAATTACATGTAAAAACAGGCAGGCAAGGACAGCCAGTATGTTTTGGGGGGCAAAAATACTCCTTCGTCAGGGATTCCACAATGTAGAAAAATATCTCTTGAACTCAGGACAAATGCTCCTGAATTTAATTCTCTAACAGGAGAAAGAATTATGTGCAATTGCGCCTGCTTGTATGGGGTTGGTTCCTATAACTTGGCCATAGGGTCAGGAGCAATTGCACATCAAGTCTTTTTCTCCTGTCAGAGTTAGATCTAGGACAATGTAGCAAAAAATATCTACTGGACTCAGAGCAAGAGCTCCAAGTCCTAAGGAAGGGGAATTTTTGACTGATAGAATGTGCTGACTGCCATCCTGTTGTCCTTTGTAATTATTAACTATAAAGTATTTTGAATGGTCGCTTGGGATTGTTTGGTGCTCTCTTTTTCTGTTTTCATAGTAGTTATTGTGCACAGGCCAATAAGATTAATGTAAATGGGTATTCAGGGACAACCTGCAGTCCAATTAGGAAAACCTGTTATGAGAAAAAAGTGGGGGCTGCCGCTGCTGACTTCTGAAAATACTAGCTGCAGACTTTAACTCTTCTGATCTGTATGCTTGTTCCAGGTCGATGTCTAGGAAAATACTGCAGTCTGGGAAAGACAATAGACTTTTTGATGAGGTCTTCAATGGCAATTCTGTTTTTAAGTGCAGCTGAAGGCGTAGGTAAACTAGTGTGAAGTGTTAACAAAATGGCTTCTGTGCAGTTCTGCTAAACATAGTCATATTTTTGCAGACCTCAAGCACGCCAAGCCATTTGAACTTCATGTGCCCATAGACATATTCTTGTCACAAATCTTG